CCGGTGGATCCGGTGGATCCGCCGACGAATCCCAAACCGGCGCCCTCGCTTGAGACATCCTCACAAAAACCGGCCCCGGGGGAGGTGCCCAGAGGAGCCCAGAGCGGCCTCCGGCACCGTTTCCGGACAGATCCGCTGTATCCGCTGGATCCGCTGGATCCGGTGACGAATCCCAAACCGGCGCCCTCGCTTGAGACATCCTCACAAAACCGGCCCCGGGGGAGGTGCCCAGAGGAGCCCAGAGCGGCCTCCGGCACCGTTTCTGGACAGATCCGCTGGATCTGGTGGATCCGCCGACGAATCCCAAACCGGCCCCGGGGGAGGTGCCCCATGCATGGAGCCCAGAGCGGCCTCCGGCACCGTTTCCGGACAGATCCACTGGATCCGGTAGATCCGCCGACGAATCCCAAACCGGCGCCCTCGCTTGAGACATCCTCACAAAACAGGCCCCGGGGGAGGTGCCCAGAGGAGCCCAGAGCGGCCTCCGGCATTGTTTCCGGACAGATCCGGACAGATCCGGTGGATCCGCGCCCCGGGGGAGGTGCCCAGAGGAGGAATGAGGAGGAGGAGGAGGAGGAGGAAGAGGAGGAGGAGGAGGAGGAGGAGGAGGAGGAGGAGGAGGAGGAGAAGATGATGGAGCTGTGGGGTGGAGGAGGACAGACGGAGGCAAGAGAAGGATGGAGGAGGAGGAGGAGGAGGAGGAGGAGGAGGAGGAGGAGCAACCTCATCCTCACCCTCGCCAACAGGCGCACGCACCTACTTCTATATACAGAAACTCCCGATCAACCGCAGAGCGGCCGGCTAGTACTAAGTTGAATGTACTGTGGGCCCAAGGAACCCTGCGAGTCCACATATTGGATCGATACACATCTCAGTGGCGCACGGCGGATCGGACCGAAACTGGAATCCAAGGGTCAGATCGGCCAGGAACCGAAGCTCCTAAGTTGGCCAAGCCTCTCAGGGGCCACTGGCGAAAGCCCATGGAAGGCCTGGCCAAACTTGGTGCTGGCATATCACTGACCCCTCCCGCGAACTTCACGCGACGCCCCATGACTTCCGAACCCGCCGGCCTTGAAGGCGATGTGATATCATTCCTTTTTTCCGCAAAGGCAAGGCGAGGTGCAGTAGCAACAGTGGTCTGGCTGATGAGGCAACGTCGGGCCTACCCTCCGACGAAGTGCCGCACATCATCTAAGGCAAGGAAATCCGCCCACCCCTTTGGGTGACTAGTATGTGAAATCGACAGGCAACCCGCCTCATGCAATGCCCAGCTACCCTCGCCCATTTGACAAGTGGCCCCGATTGACAGATTTGCCACTGGCAACAAGGAGGGTTCCAGTCTCCCCAAGTGTCCATTGAAAAGTGACACAAATTGTCGAAGTGGTCATCGGCGACATCATTGACAGGACATTTCTGAGCCCAGAAATGGGAGGTCTCGGGCGAAATTGGTTGAACCACCTCAGGTCTGGGCATCCCCGAAAGAACAATCCCGACGATGTCTCAGGCGAAAAAGACTGGGACCGCGTGAGGTGAGGACATAAGACGTACATAAACCCGGAGTGGCAATGATATCTCAAGCGAAACGAACAGTCCACGGCAACTGCAAACCGAGAGCAGCGAGGAAACGGGAACTGATAGTTACCGTGCGGCCTGAGCATCGACTGATCCAGAATAGCGAGGATGTACCGGGCGAAGATTGCTCTGCGAGGATGTCTCAAACCAAAAAAGCTGGACCACCTCAGGACAGCGGCGAAGAAGTCGAAGCGAAATGGGCTGGACTATCTCTCGCGCGGCATCTCGAAACCCACAACTGCAGGGATGTCTCGAGACCGGCCGGACCGCCTCACAGGCGGCATCTCAGGGCCCAAATTAACGATGATGGCTTCGCCGGAACCGACCCAAACAACTCCTCGCATGGGGTCTCCTAACTCAAAAACCCACCCGTCTTCTGGGCAGGAGATGGTCAATCGCGGTTCCTTGTCTAACCCCTTTGTTCCCCTTCGGGGATGGGGTCGTTGCTGCTCCTGGATAATATTTGCCACCTCGCCCAATCTACCGACCGCTAACCTGAGTCTCTGCCACCTCCCTCGATTCAAACCAACAAATTGGAATACCCCCAGGCGGCTCCCCCATTGGAGCTCGGAAATGCGATGCGACCTGTCGGGACGATGATCATCGGATTACCATGGTTCTGTAGATCCGCCACCGTGCCTCTGGGCACGGAGTGGGCGTGCCCTTAGGTCCTTGCCAAAATCATCACGCCTGAGGAGTCGTTCAAGAGCCCCAGGCCCCGCGTCGCGACGTCTTCTCCTGGGGCTTCTCGCGGTTTCTCGCGCGACCGTTTCGGAGCGATGGGAGCTCCAGAACGGGCCCAACAGGGCCCAAAGAGGCCCACGACGGCCCAGAACGCCCCGAGCCGCCCAAAGATCGCTCCAAGACGCCTTGAATGGCCTCAAGATGGCCCAGGAGGCCTCCAAGATGCCCCAAGAGGCCTCGAAGATGCCTCCCGAGAGGACCCTGAGAGGCAACAACCATTGATTTGTATTCGTTGTTTCAAAAATTTGGGCGTTCTCGCCGCGCTTCCTTCCCGACGCTCTCAGACGGCCCTCGAGGCCCCCAATACCACCCCAGGACTGTCCAAGCGGCCTCCAAGATGGCCCCAATAGTGGCCCGAGAGAGGGAACACGAACCCACAATCCGAGCGTTCCGCCCCAAGAGGCCCCCAGGAGGCCCCAAGAGGCACTCAAGAGGCCCCGAGAGGCTCCAAGAGGCGCCCAGGGGACCCAACAGCGACCCCAAGAGGCTCCAAAGCTGCCCCCAAGAGGCCTCAAAACTGCATCCAATCCAAGAGGCTCCCTAAAGGTCACCCTCGAAATCTCACCGAACACCCAATAGGCTTCACACCCACAATCCAGGCGCAGTGGCGAGATGGGCCGATGGCTAGATAGAGAGGAGCCCGAGGTGCAACAGAGAATCAAGAGTCCAGGGGGCGAGGCTCAAGCCTGGATGTCTCACCTGAACCCTTCCTACCGTGCTCGGAAAGGCAGCCCGACAACAAACGAATTAAACATACGTCGCTCAATTAGGGTCGGCGGCAGAGGCGGCAGCCTTTCGATAAATTGCGTTTTTTTTGTGGGGGTGGCGCACGCCGCGATCACGACGAGCCCAAGGGAAATACCACATATTCGACAAGTTGGGTTGGCGAACTGAGCGAAACGATTTGATACATTATTTGCTATGACACAGGCGCACTCACACCAGCACATTTTAGACATCGGATTCTATAAACGGCTCTTCGAAAACAGAAGGGTGCAAAGACGGACCCCAGAAAGAGGCTCCGCGATGCTGCGAACGACTTCAGCGCACACACACACACACACAACCACACACACACACACGCACGAAAACGCGTCATCAAATCATACAGGCGAAGGACCCAACCATGTGCAATTGTGGATAAAACAATTGAGATGTTCGTCTTCGGTGGGGCTTCCAATGGGGCCACGAACCCTGTGAGAGGTGCGCCGGAATGAAGGGTGGAACTGCATGCGGATCCTGCCACTGAGGCCATCTGTAGATCTCCCTATGGGGCAACGGCGCGAATGAGGGGTGTGCCAGAATGGGGCGGCGCCGTCATGCGGGCTGCGCCACTGGGACCTCAGGTGGAGCTCCCTATGAGGCCACGAAACGCGTGAGGGGTGTGCGAAAATAGAGCGGCGCCACCATGCGGGATACGCCACTGGGACCTTAAGTGGAGCTCCTTATGAGGCCACGAAACGTGTGAGGGATGTGCCAAAATGGTGCGCAACCCCTTGGCGAGTTCCGCCGCTGGGACCTTAGTTGGAGGGGCCACGAAATGCGGGGCCACGAAGTGTGTGAGGGGTGTGCCAGAATGGGGCGCGTACCGTTGGGGCATCAGGTGGAGGGGCCACGAAGTGCGTGAGGGGTGTGCCAGAATGGGGCGCGTACCGCATGCAAGTTCCGCTGCTGGGACCTTAGGTGAAGCTCCCTATGGGGCCACGAAGTGTGTGAGGGGTGTGCCAGAATGGTGCGAGTACCGCATGCGAGTTCCGCCGCTGCCGCCCCTGGAACCTTAGGTGGAGCTCCCTATGGGGCCACAAAACGTGTGAGGGGTGTGCCAGAATGGGGCGAGTACCGAATGCGAGCCCCCTCACTATGACATTAAGTGGCGTTCCCTATGGGGCCATGAAAACGTGCGAGGGGTGTGCCAGAATGGGGCGGGCACTGCATGCGAGCTCCCTCGCTAGGAACTTAGGTGCAGCTCTCTTTGGGGCCACGAAACGTGTGAGGAGTGTGCCAGAATGGGGCGGGTACCGAATCCGAGCCCCCTCGCTTGGACCTGAGGTGGAGCTCCCTATGGGGCCACGAAACGTGTGAGGGGTATGCCAAAATGGTGCGGGTACCGAATGCGAGCCCCCTCACTGGGACCTTCGGTGGAGCTCCCTATGGGGCCACAAAACGTGCGAGGGGTGTGCCAGAATGGGGCGGGTACCGAATGCGAGCCCCTTCACCGGAACCTTAGGTGGAATTCCCGTTGGGGCCACGGAAGAGTGCGATGGGGTGTGCCAGAATGGGGCGCGTACCGTTGGGACATCAGGTGGAGGGGCCACGAAGTGTGCCCCAAGAGGGCCCCAAGAGAGGCTCAAGAGGGTCCCAGAGGCCTCCAACATGTCCTCAAGAGGGCCCTATGATGGCCCCAAGAGGCCTACAAGACGCTCCCAGCTCTCGATACTTACTGCACTTCGCTAGAGTGGCTGCTTTAGGATGGGCTGGTGGGGATTTTTTTAAATTACAGCCGCAGGCGGACGCGCCGGCGGCGATCAGAGCGGGTCGGGCCGCGGCCCACTACTAATTCCCGCGCTCAACCTAAGCTGACTGCGGAGGCTGCAGGTAGTGCAAAGTGATCCAGGGAAGCCACGGACTGGTTCACAAATTGGTCTGGTGGGGATTCGCGAAGCGTAAACAATCATCAGCGTCGTGGGTGGGCCCATCTCTAGTGCAGAAATGAGCTAATGAGTCTTGAATGGATGTTTTCGGATTGCACGATGGGCAGTTAGGGCGGGAGCTTGGTTCCCACAATTGTTCATGCGAAAGCGCCGTCGGAGGCGACCCAGGAACAGACGTGGGAAAATACAGGTATGCCGTCGCATATGAATGCTCAAGCACGCCCCGCCCTGTGTGCGTTCGGAGCCGTGACTTTTATATCTCTTCACTCCTTCCTCCGGCCCTCCCTCGCGTGCATCAGCAAGCCAGTTCAGTACAGCGAGCCTGAATACCAGATTGCAAGCAGTTGAGTCTTCTCTTTTTGGGAATTGGGCCGCCAGAGGCCCAGTCGGCGCAGACATACGTCACATGAATAGTGTCGTGAAACACTTGAGCTGGCAGCGGTCAGAAATAATCATCAGCGTCGTGGGTGGGCCCATCTCTAATGCAGAAAAGCCTGTTTCGTTTTCTCGGGTTCGGCTCGGCTTCCGAACTTGTGCAGATTTTTTGGTTGGGAACCGACGAGTTGTGCAACTTTTTTGATCGGGAACCGACGAGTTGAGCAACTTTTTTGAATGGGAACCGACGAGCTGTGCAGCCTGTTCCGTTTTCTCGGGTTCGGCTCGGTTTCCGAACTTGTGCAGCTTTTTTGGTTGGGAACCGACGAGTTGTGCAACTTTTTGAATGGGGCACCGATGAGTTGTGAAACTTGTTTGAATGGGAACCGACGCGTTGTGCAGCCTGTTTCTTTTTCTCGGGTTGGGCTCGGTTTCCGAACTTGTGCAGTTTTTTTGGTTGGGGGCCGACGAGTTGTGCAACTGTTTTGAATGGGAACCGACGAATTGTGCAATTGTTTTGAATGGGAACGGACGGGTTGTGCAGCCTGTTTCGTTTTCTCGGCTTTGGGCTCGGTTTCCGAGCCTGTGCAGATTTTTTGGTTGGGAATCGACGAGTTGTGCAACTGTTTGGGTTGGGATCCGACGAGTTGTACAACTTGTTCTTCATTGGAGAGCGATGTGTTTCAACTTTCGTTTCAAGTTTTGTTTCTGGGTTGTTTCAGATTTTGCTTCAGGGCCCTGGTTTGGTTTTGTTTCTGGTCCCTGGCCAAGAGTCCCCAAGAGTTGTGAGGATGTCTCAGGCCGTCGTGGCCTGACCACGTGATCAGGGCATCTCGCAACCCAGAGTTGCGCGGGTCTCAGGCGGAAGTTGCCACGCCACCTTGGGGCAATGCATCGCCGAGGTCAGAGTTCGGATGATGTCTCAGGCGAAAGTGGACCGACCACATCAGCTCAGGGCATCTCGGAACCCAGAGTTGCGAGGATTTCTCAGGCGAAAGAGGCCAGAACGTCTGAGTTCAGGGCATCTCGGAACCCTGAGTTGCGAGGACGTCGCAGGCGAAAATGGCCGGACCACCATGGGGCAGGGCGCTTCCGAGGTCAGCGTTGCGAGGATCTCTCAGGCGGAAGTGGCCTGAACACCTGAGCTCAGGGCATATCCGAAGTCAGAGTTGCGAGGATGTCTCAGGCGAAAGTGGCCGGACCACGACGGGGCAGGGCAGCTCGGAACCCAGAGTTGCGAGGATGTCTCAGGCGGAAGTGGCCAGACCACTACGGGGCAGGGCATATCCGAACCCAGAATTGCGAGGATGTCTCAGGCGAAAGTGGCCTGAACACATGAGTTCAGGGCATTTCGAAACCCATTGTTGTAGGATGTCTCAGGCGAAAGTGGCCTGAACACCTCAGCAAAGAGCATCTCGGAACCCAGAGCTGCGAGGATGTCTCAGGCGGAAGTGGAAGGACCCCCATGGGGCAGGGCACCTCCGAGGTCAGCGTCGCGTGGATATCTCAAGCGGAAGTGGCCGGACCTCCATGGGGCAGGGCACCTCCGAGGTCCGAGTTGCGAGGATATATCAAGCGAAAGTGGTCTGACCACCTGAGCTCAGGGCGTCTCGGAATCCAAAGTTGCGAGGGTGTCTCAGGCGAAGGTGGCCGGATCACCTCAAGCCGAAGCATCTCGGATCCCAGAGTGCCGAGGACGTCTCACGCGAAACGCGCTGGAACTCTTCGAGAAACGCATCTTGGTAGCAGGAATGGCGAGGATGTCCCAAGCGAGATTGCTCAGACCCTGTCTCCCCACTCTCCCTCCCCCTCCCCCTCCACCCGTCGCCATTATTGCCCTCCTCCCTCTGTTACCCCTCCCCTCTTCCTCCTCCTCCTCCTCCTCCTCGCCTCCTCCTCCTCCTCCTCCTCCTCATCATCATCATCATCATCATCATCATCATCAGCATCATCATCATCATCGTCATCATCATCATCATCATCATCATCATCATCATCATCATCATCATCATCATCATCATCATCATCATCATCATCATCATCATCATCATCATCATCATCATCATCATCATCATCATCAGCATCATCATCATCATCATCATCATCATCATCATCATCATCATCATCATCATCATCATCAGCATCATCATCATCATCATCATCATCATCATCATCATCATCATCATCGGCGTCGTCGACGTCGTCGTCGCCGTCATCGCCATCGTCATCGTCATTATCATCATTATCGTCATCATCGTCATCACCAGATCATATCACATCATAGCCACCATCATCATCCTCATCATCCTCATCCTCATTTTCGTCCTCCTCCTCATCCCCATCCTCCTCCTCATCCTCATCCTCATCATCCTCATCCTCATCCTCATCCTGCTGCTCACTCCGGCTCAATTACCTGCCCGCCCCGATCCCGACCGGGCCCGGGATCGGCGTCACGGCGCGGCCGCGCGCGGGGCGGGGACGCGGGGCGGGGACGCAGGGACAGCCGGGGGCGAACCCCGAGGGCACGCGCGAGGAGCCCACGAGATCGGCCCGACCCTCAGATCGGGGCGACGCAAAAAAAGGTCGTCGTCGTCGTCGTCGTCGTCGTCGTCGTCGATTGCAACGGAAGGTCTTTCGACGTTTTCGGCCTCCGGAGGCCGTCTCCCGGCTCTGGGACCGTCAGAATGACTGCCCAACAGACCACCCCAACCCAATCCGAAGTCCCGAACTTCGGGTTGAGGGGGGGGGGGCCGGGGGGGGTCCATCGTATTTTTTTCGATGTTCCCGGACGCCCCCCCACTGGAAATGGGGGGCGGATTGGGGCCTTCGGGTTGGGGCCTTTTTGCTCGATTGCAGCAGGAACAAAAGGGGCAGTGTTAGCTACAACCAGATGGATGCGAAAGGGCGTTACAGATCAAGCACAAAAATGCACGGTCTGCTACTCGCTAGTCGCTGTCGCCATGGAGGCGCCTGACGACACCGCAGCGCCCTTCGTCTTCGACAGCGACAGCAACTTGACGCAGCCCTGGCCGGGTGTCGCCGCATCAGTGTGGTCGTCCATTCCCAACAGCCCTCCGACGTCAGCACCCGCGTGCCCAAGGTGCTTGACGTAGAAGTTCAGGTATTTGAAGTTCGTGTCTGCGCGCCCATGGGTCACTTTCAGCTCGACGGGCCCGAACTTTACCCATTTCGGCTTCTGCTCGGGGTCACGCTGCGAGTCGAAGCGGAGAACCGAGCCCACCCACTTCCCTGTGACGCTGAGAGTCTGAAAGTACATGTCGGTGCAGCCCGCGCCAAGGCGGCGCGCGTCTGCCTCGATGGTCAGCAGCGTGTCGTTGATGGGTTGTCCGCGTGGGATCTGGATCAGAACCACACTGCCAGGCTGCATCAGGTCGAACCTCTCGCCGTAGAGATTCTGCAGATGCGGATCGCCCGTAGCCGATGCCGGCGCCGTCGAGGCACAGGACGACATCGTGAAAGACTGGCCCCAACTGGCTGCAGACCCGTATGTACTAGAGCAGCATCCTCCTGGAACAGCGTCCCCACCCCAATGGCTCAAATACATCCTGTTGTCGCCTGGAACGTTTTGCGAAGGCCATGCCTTAGGCGACCCACCAAGGATATTCCAACCAGCGTTAGGTGGAGATGTCCAACTACTTTGGTCGTTGCTCCACTCGAACATTGGGTTTGGATAACTACCTGAATGCGGTGAGGTCAGCATGTCACACATCGATGCGCCCTGCACCGGCTTGAAGTAGTCTACTGTTATCCCCATAACCACTTTCATGTGATCAGAGTTTTCTGGGATATTTTGGCATTGTGCTGACCAAAAGTCAGTATATGCGTTCTGACTGCCTGCAACCGCAACCAATTCAGTGCAGACCCAGTCACCCACGGCGTCTTTGGCCTGCGCATTGGCACTCATGTGCGACGCGTTCTGTTGGTCGGTGTCGCGGTAGATACGATCCAGCACCATGCCCGGCGGGACAGTATTGGCATCTTTTCCGCCGAGATGTCCGTGGGCGGCGTGACGGCACAAGGAGGGCACGCCCTGGGCAAGAAGCGCCATCACATAGTAAACATGTATGGCCGCCATCCCAGCAAAGTGGCAGGAAAATGTGATCTGGGAGGCGGTTGAGCACGTCTGGGAGTGTGTATGTATTTGCGTATGCGCACGACTTTGAACCGAAATGGCGAATTACGGATGCCACGATCGGCGTTTTTGCGGAGCGGGATGCATGGACCTCCATTTCCCCATAAATTACTCCGACGGGAGGACCCCACATGAGAATCTCTTTAGATTGCCTGGGGGTATCCTCCTGCCCCTCCCCTTCTCCCACCTACTCTTGCCTCCGCCTTCTCCTCCTGTCTGCTCCTCCTCCTGCCTCGACCCCTGCCTCTTCCTCCTCTTCGTGCCTCCTCCACCTCCTCCCCCTCCCCCCCGTTATGCTTCCTCCCCCCCATTCCCCCTGCCCCCCCTGCCTCCTGCCTCCTCCTCCTCCTGCTCTCCCTCTCCCTCCTCCTCTCCCTCCTCCTCCTCTCCCTCCTCCTCCTCTCCCTCTCCATCACACGCCTCCTCCTCCTGGTCTACATCTTCCTCCCCCCCTCCTCCCCCCTCTCCTCCTCTCCCTGCCTCCTCCTTAGGCCTCCTGCCTCCTCCTGGAGCCCCTGGGGGCCTCCTAGAGCCTTCTGGGCCTCCCGGGACCTACTGGGGCCTCCTCAAGCATTCCTTCTCCTCCTCCTTTTCCTCTTCGTCCCTCCCCCTCAACCTCTTCCTCTTCCTCCTTTCTGTTTCGTCCTGCGTCCTCGTGCGGAACACGACGGAGGGAAGTGCGCGACGTGCGTCCCGGCCGATACGCGACGGAGGACGACTCAGAGGAAGCGCGCGCCGGAGGATGACCCAGAGGAAGCACGTGAGCTGCAGGACCCATAGGGAGGGGGCCCCCGCCTGAGACTTCCTCACAATTCACTCACAGACGAGGCTCCCGCTTGATAGTTCCTCCAAATCCCACCAGCCCTGTGGGCGTAGGTGGTTTAAAGCGTTTCCTCTTCCAACCTCCTTCTTCCCCTTCGGGGAGGGGTTTACCCCTCCCCCCTGCCCCCTCCCTTGGACCTGGACGGGGGGGGGGGCGCGAGCGGTCAGAGCGTCTAAGATGGCCAAAGACGGCTCCAACAGCGCCTCGGAGAGAGCCCAAGATGAGCTCCAAGATGGCTCAAGATAGCCGAAGATGCCTCAAGATGGCTTTGAACTCCGATCTGCTGCTATGCTGCAATCCGAGTGGGCGCAACCCCTTTTGCTCCGACCAGCGCGCCGGCAGGCTCGCGGGTCTCGGGCGCGGGCCGCCCGAGAGGCAGTAAAACCTGGGGCCCCAGGCTTGGGCCCACAGTGGTTGCGGGAGCACGGGAGAGGGGCAGAGGGAGAGCAAAGAGGAAAGGGATAGGCGGGTTGAGGCGAGCCTGGAAATTTTCACACGCCCTCAAAAGGAGACGCCGAAAACCGCCTGGCTGTCACCTCAATCTGCGATGTCCCGCATCTCATTCGCTCTCACGAGTTTGTCCTGCTGCCTCTTCTCCGTCTTCCTAGTGTCGATGGCGGTCTTGCGGCTAGCGCGCTGCATACTCTTCTTCATCTTGATCGCCGCCGCCGCCGGGTCCTGCACAGGGCTCCACTTGGCCTCCCGCAGCACCTTGTAGAGGTAGACCTTGTCCACCCCAAGCTTCGTCAGCACATCTGCAATGTTCTGCGAGCCGTCAATCCACCTGAGGTGGGTGTTCTCGCAGCGCAGCACTTCTCTGAGCAAGGCGCCCTCGATCGCCATCCTCTTGTCCTTGCTCTTAGCCGAGCCCCCCTTAGTGAGGTGGTCGTAGACGGACTTCGCGTCTGTCGCCCAGAACCCAGAGGTCCTTGTCGGTCTCAGCTAGCAAGTCAAGTGCTGTCTTGGCCTTGAGTGTAACAGCACAACACTTGAAGTTCTGTTTAAGCAGTGAAGTCCTATGTAAGCCGCGAAGTGTTATATAACGTGTCATATCATATACATACAACACACATACACATAAATGTGTGACATGATTGGTGTATATATAGATGTAACGTTTACGCACCTAGAACATGTCATATTTTCATATGTATGATATATGCATTATGTAATTGTGTGTGCTGTGCATGTACAATGTACGTCGTTGCCAATTGTGCATGTTCGTATGTTGTACGACAACACGTTCAAATTTTAACCATGCACAGTGCGTGCACACATATATGCAAACACGATTGTGCAATGATCCTTTTTCTGTTTCAAGTCGGTGCAACTCAATTGGGTGATTTCGTACTTCACAGCCAATGGTAATATATTCATTGGCTTGGAGCGCGCTCGGCTTAGAAACCGAAGCGTTCAAGCAAGTCGGCGCAATGCTGTGCCATCAACGTGTTGATGCACAACATGCGGTCTCTAATTATGATATTTAAACAATTATGCCCTCCACCGCCCCCATTGAAACGCGCATTTCGCAAGGTTGCGCGGCGAAAAGGCGAGGGCGCCATTCCTGACGGAAACGGGGCCGCCATCCAGCTCTTACAAGACATCCAGGACGATAGTCGGCTTTATGGCGGGAGCCCCGTTTTGAAAACGATGCGTTCCCCATCCGTGCGCCCGCCCTGCACGTTGCACGCGCGCGCGCGCCGTGCCATCCGCGCCCGCCGCGGGTGCACGACGACACCAACGAGGCGGCCGAGGACCGCCTGCCCCGCGAGGGAGGGGGAGGAAAGGCAGGAGAGGCAGGAGAGAGAAGGGAGGGTGCAGGGGGCAGCGGGAGGGAGGAGCGGGAGGGAGGGCGTAGAGGGGGCAGCGGGGCCGGGAAGGAAGGAGGCCAGGGGGGCGGACAGGAGCGGGCGGCCCATCAAGGGAGGTCTCCAAAAAAATCAAAAAGGCATTTGGGGCGGTCCGAAACACGAAAGAAAAAACACAGCCCACTAGGGCTCGTCAGGGGGCCCACCAAAGCCCGACAGAGGCCATGTAAGGCCGCAAAACGGTCCCTTCAGGGCCCCATAACCCCCCGTCGATGGACCGCCCGATCCTGTAGGCGGCGTGCGCAATTTAATCGTTCCCCGAGCTGCGGACTCGCTCTTGGGTCAGCGGGGCCCTCTTCCTTCTCCTCCTCCTCCTCCTCCACGTCCTCCTCCACGTCCTCCTCCTCCTCCTCCTCCTCCTCCCCCCCTCCTCCTCATCATCCTCCTCCTCCTCCTCTCTCCCACTTCTCTATCCTACTACTCGCCCTCCTACTCGTCATCCCTCCTCCTCCTCATCACCCTCATCATCCTCATCATCATGCTCCTCAGCATCATCATCCTCATCATCATCCTCATCATTATCGCCATCATCATCATCCTCATCATCATCATCACCGTCATCTTCATCATCATCCTCATCATCATGATCACCCTCATCACCATCGTCCTCATCACTCTCATTGTCATCATACTCCTCCTATCTCTTCATCCTCCTCATCATCATCCTCTACGGGAGCTCTCACGCCGTCGCATCGCCCGACTCCCTGTCCGACATGGCCCTGTCGTTGTCCTCATCCTCGATCGCCCTCAGATCCCAAACCACTTCGTCCTGGGGTGTATTTCTCTCTCCTCCGCCTCCCCCTCCTTCCCTCCACTCCGTTTCCCCACTCCTCGATTTGCCAACTTCCCTATTCGTTACCCTCGCCCATGTCCTCAGAGAGGAGCGGCGAGTGTCGCGCGGCCAGTTCACGGTGGAAAGCTTCGATCGTGCGAACCCTGGCTCCGAGAACGTTCGAGCGAAGCCAAACCGTGCAAGGGTCATCAGACAGCGGGTACCGCAGTAAAGCAGACAGGTGCGGACGAAACAGCAGCTCCAGTTCCTGTCGGACACTCCCGTCGTCGTCGTCGTCGTCGTCGTCGTCGTCGTCGCCGTTCCTCCTATCCTCGTCCCATCGCTTCATCGTCGGGTCCAGATCATATAGCGACCGTCTAATGAAGCCGCCTTGCATGCCCCACCAGGTCGCGCACCAGTCGTCGTAAGCCGAGAACTCTATCCATATGCGCGCTGCTGGATGGGGGTCGGGAATGAGCAGCTCTGGATGGGGATCGGCGGGGGCAACCGAAAAAGACATTGCTTCATTGCTTGACCCGTGGCGGTCCCGAAGGAGGAGGAGGAGGAGGAGGAGGAGGAGGAGGAGGAGGAGGAGGAGGAGAGGCGGAGGAGGAGCAGGAGGGCGAGTCGCCCACGCGAGGTGGGCATTAGGGCTACGAGAGGGCAGATTGCCCAGCCAACTCCTGGGCGGCGGGGACACAGAGGCCACTCCCACCGCCCAGGAGCGCGGCTGGGCCTTTTCCACCTTCCCGCAACCTCACAATATTAACGGTTTAGCCGCTCGCCCTGGAAAGAATTCAGCCCCCGCAGATTTCGGTCGGTGGGAGGGGCCCTCCGAAAGCCCCAAGACAAGACTGATCCAAGAGGGCCCCGAGGCGGCTCCGAGAAGCCCCCGAGAGGGCCCCGTGCCCAGGGACGTTGTAAGACCGTTCGGCCACCTCACTCTGACCTGGATGAGGTAATCCGCCTCCGCCTCCTCAACCTTCGTCATCCTCCTCCGCCTCCTCCTCCGCCTCCTCATCCTCCGATGGCTAGCGTAGCGCAGCGCGTGCTTTGCCGTGTGTTTTGAAACACCGCCCGATCCAAAGATATGTCCATGGCGTGTCTTTCACACACCGCGCGCCGCAAGGATCTCCCGTGCACGAGCGTGGCCGGGAGCGTGGCTGATATCGAATTATGTCAGGACTGCTGGAGCCTTGCACCTCTCTGCCTATACCTCCCTGCCCAGTATACCTCTCTGCCTTTACGTCCCTGCCTATACCTCCCAGCCTCCCCCGCCTCAAAATCTCACTGGGGCCGATGGCCGAGGAGCTCCTCGGCAAGTGCTGACGTGCATCTGCCGAACTCCGTGGGGTACGCGCTCGCGAGGGTGAGGCCTTTGGTGCCTCTGACATAACCTTTGGTCTTAGACGAGGGTTCGACCCTTTTCCAAGCCTTCCCGCCGCCCTTGCAGCAGCCTTTCACCACAGTGCGACGCAAGTGAGACTTTGCAAGACTCAGCGGGGCGTTTGTCCAAATGATGACAGGTTTGGGGTTAGGCTGAGCCCTGCCATGCCCCCGAAAAGCTCCGAGCCAAGTGC